TTTAGCCTAGCTTAAGAGGCTCAGATTAGAAAAGGCCTCCAGTATCACACCAAAAAACCTATAGATTTGAATCTTGAAACCAAATAAGGTTTCAGAGTAGGGGAATAATAATCTGAGTGATTTTTAAAGGAACGTTGATTTGCTGGGATGAGTTGTAAAGATGGAAGGCCAGTGAGATTTAGAATGAGGTGATAAAGGTAAGCATCAAGGGGAGGTACAGAAAATAGAAAAAAAAAGTCGGAAGTCATATTGGTAAAAATGTTGAACTTCCATTTACATACGTAAGGATAGGAAGTTAATATTAAATACATTAAAAATACTCATTACAAACATAATAGTAACAGCAACAATAGCAATAACAATAATAAAAGCAGTAAGAATGAAATAATCTTTAACAGGTCTTTCAGATGTTTACTTGCATCATTCTTGAAACTCCACAGGAGCTCAACAGCAGTTTGTATTGCCTGGAAGAATTATTAAAAAGAGGTGTTAGTAATCTACATTAAAACTAATCTATCAGCCATTATAAACTAAAAACAGGCATTTCCACCTTCTGTAAGGCAGGTGAAGCAATATTTTGTACCATAATTATATTTTTTCATTCACCATTAAAAAAAAAAGTTTATTTATTTTTGAGAGAGAGAGAGAGAGAATACAAGCAGGGTGGGGCAGAGAGAGAGAGAGAGAGACAGAGAGACAGAGAGACACAGAATCTGAAGCAGGTTCCAGCCTCTGAGCTGTCAGCACAGAGCCCAATGCAGGGCTCGAACCCATGAATGGTGAGATCATGACCTGAGCTGAAGTCTTAACGCTTAACCCAGATGCCCCAATATGAATTTTTTATATCAGAAACTGTCAACAAATTTTCACAGTTCATAAAAATGGACAATCTGTGATATGCTGTGAAAGCAAATTCAAAGGAAGATGACACTTATCCATTTATTCATTTCTTACCTTCTTTCAATGGGGTTTTGAGAGCAAAATTTTCTTTACTTTCATGAAGAAAAGCCTTTGAAGGATCAAAGTGTTTGATACCCAGAACTTTATTCAATTCCTCCTGAAGTTTTGTTTCACTTTGTTTTTTCTTAGCAAGCTGAGAGCGGAGTTTTGACACCTCCTATGTAAGAGAAATATAGACAACAAACAATTACTAAACCTCATGTTGGTGAAATGTGTTATCAGTGTTACTGACAAATTTCCCAAGGTGCTCATGTATCAAACCAAAAGGCAAAAAATCACTACTAGATACAGGCTTTAATACTACAAATTATAAAATGACACTGAACAGGTGTGACAAAGGGGATAATGAGACATTTCAGTCTTTTTGCCACTCTACAGATACAAAGCTATGTTTCCGATAAAAGTTCATCTCCAAATTAAATGCTGAGATGAACTTGTGGCATGATAGCAAGAGAAGCTCCAGTAACCTGCTTCCTAATGAAACTAAAAATTATTTAAAAAAAAAAAAAAAGGCAACCATTTAAAGTCTGTAAAAATGGTTCTAAGGCAAAACAGGCAATGAAGAAACATCTATTCAACCAAATCTACAAAAATATGGTAAAAAAAAAAAAAGGTAAGGGTCTGTGGTATTTGACCCAAGTCTGCTCCCTCTCTCGCAACTCCCAGTTTAGCAAGGTGGGATAGACAGCTGCAGGCAAGAACAGGGCCCTCTGTTTCTCCAGCTCCCACTCAGAGGCTTTTCCTGTTGCTGAGGCCACATCCCAAACAAATGTGGTTGAGAGGTGAAGGATCCTTTCTTCTGTGCAACAGGGCTCTACCTTAGGTGCTGTGTGCAGAAAATGCTGGGAAAATGCTGTGTGCAGAAAATGCTGATCACCTTTGCTGCCTTGGCTCATAAGGTGATGATTCCATGCCAGGAAAGGCAAGCTGAGAGAACCTGAGAGTGCTCTCCTTGCCCCTCTCCCCCACGTCTGTCAAGCACTCAGTTCCCAGGCCAGATGTCTCATTCAGAGAAAAAGCTTGTCATTTTCTCCTACTTCAGCTCCAGAACCCTGTCTCAGAGATTTTATCTGGGGGAGCAGGGGTAGAGAAGTAGACTATAAAACACATAGTTCCTAATTTCTCCCCAAAGGAACTGACTTCACTTGCAACAGCATTTGGAGAAGTTCAAGCTGGAGGGTGCTGTGAATAACAGTCAAGGTGGTGGCGCAAGGGAGCTGGGAGGTGATTCAAAATACAGGCAAAGCTGTAGGTTTACAACTGGTGAATAAGACAGCTGGGAGAAGTCCTTCTGGGGTCAGCACACAATCAATCAATGACCTAAGACATAATTCCAACAAAGGAGCCAGAATTCAACTGGATTGGTTTGAAGAGCAATTTATACTCCAGGCACTGTTAAGAGCAATAAGTGACTAGTTATCCAGTTTAACGTGCGATGAGGGAAATAGAGGAGACAGCTCTACCAAAATCAGTGTCATCCCAGGGTGACCGTGGGCACACTTCAGACTGAACCTCCCTGAGCAGCAGTATCAGAGGCACTACACTACTGGGGGGGTGGGGGAGGAGGAACAGACTTCACTAGCACAACCCAGCCAATTACTAAATAAATCAACAAGAAAATAACAACACACCTTGAAGGAAAGGGCTGTAATCAAAGGTGCTACGACATATAATCTAAAATATCCACTTTCCAACAAAAAAGGCAGGAAAGCATGACCTATACATTGGAAAAAAGCAGGGAACAAAAACTGCCTGTGAGAGTAACCAGATACTGGATTTATTCAAAAACGGTTTCAAAGTAGCCATTATAAATATGTTCACAGAACTAAGAGAACTAAAAAAAAAAAAAAAAAAAAAAAAAAAAAAAAAAAAAAAAGTGTGAATAGTCAAATTACTAGAATCAGAAATGAAAGAAGGGACATGGTGACTGACCTTACCAAAATAAAAAGGATTACAAAAAAAATACTATGAAGAGGTCTATATCCATAAGTCAGATAACTTAAATGAAACAGAGAACTTCATAGAAAGACACAAACTACTGAAACTCTCTCAAAAAGAAAGTCAGTATGAATAGACTCATAAGAGGAGACTGGATAATAAAAACTACCCCCACACACAAAAAGCTCAGATCCAGATGGCTTCACTACTGAATTCTATTGCACAGTCAATGAATAATTAATACCAATTCACAAACTATTTCAAAAAATTGAAAAGACAAAATCTTCCCCAACTAATTTTATGAGGTCAGCATTGATACCAGAACCAAATAATACCAAAAATATTGTATGAAACCTGTAGACCAATATCTGTCGGGAATATGGACGAAAAAAACCTCAGCATATATTAGCAAAAGGAATCCAGCAATACAAAGGGAATTATGCACCATGGCCAAGAAAAACTGATCAGAATGCAAGGTTAATTTAATATCCAAAAATCAACTAATTTAAGAAATAAACAGAATGAAAGTCACATGATCATCTCAACAGACACGAAAAGGTGCTGGACAAAATTTAATACCCTTTCATGGTAAAAACACTAAAAAAACCAGGAATAGAAGGAAATTTTCTCACCCTGATAAAGAGTATCTGTGACAAGCCTGCAACTAATAGTATACTTAACAGAGAAAGTGTGAATGCTTTCCCCCACCCAAATCAGGACCAAAACAAGGATCTCCACTCACACCACTTCAACTTTGTCTGGAGGTTCCAGCCAGGGAACTTATTAGGCAAGAAAAAGTAATCAAAGGCATTCAGGTTAAAAGAGAAGTAAAACTATCTCTATTTACAAATGATCATCTATACAGAAAATCCTAAGGAAACCACTAAAAATCTATTACAACAAATAAATGAGTTCAGCAAGATTGAAAGATACAATTTCAGTATACAAAAATCAATTTTATTTCTACACACTTGCCAGGAACCATCTGAAAATGAAATTAAGAAAACAACTTCATTTACAATAACCTCAAAAAGGATAAAATACTTAGGAACAAGTTTAACAAAAGTGTAAAACTTATAATTTCAAAACTCCAAACCATTGTTGAAAGAGATTAAAGATGTAAATAATTGGAAAAACATCCCATGTTCATGGATCAGAAGATGTAACATAGTTAAGATAGCAATTGACCCAAACCTATCTACAGATTCAACATAATTCCCATGTGAATCTCAGATGACTTCTTTGTAAAAATTGAATAGCTGATTCTGCAATTCATATGGAATTGCAAGGGACCCAGAATAGCCAAAACAATCTTGAAAAAGAAGAAAAGTAGGCGGATTCATGCCTCCTGGTTTTAAGCATTCCTTTCCTTTCCCCTTTGCCCTCTCTCCCTCATTTCCTTCCTTCATAGAATCCCAAGTAGGCTCTGTGACATCAGTGCAGAGCCTGACACAGGGCTTGAATCCATAGAACCTGAGTCAAAATCAAGAGTCGGATGTTTGACTGAGCCATCCAGGTGTCCCTACCCTTTTTTAAGGTTATTTATTTATTTATTTATTTATTTATGCATGCCTTCTGGTTTTAAAACTTACTACAATCCAACTGTAATTAAGACAGTGTGGAAGCACAAGGATAGCTATATAGATCAGTGGAAAACATTTGAGACTCTAGAAATAAACCATAAATATGTGGTCAGCTGATTTTCAACAAGGGTGTGCAGATCATTCATTAGAGGAATGAATAGTCTCTTCAACAAATGGCATGAGAACAACTAGATATCCACATGCTAAAGTATAAAGTTGGACACTTACCTCTCACTGTATACAAAATCCTCAAATGTATCAATGAACTCAATGTAAAAGTTAAAACTGTAAAAACCCTTAGAAGAAAACATAGGGATAAATCTTCAAGATCTGGGATTTGGCAAAAGATTGTTAGAGAATAAAGAACAAGAAACAGAGGAAAAAATAGATACATCAGACTTTGTCAAAATTTTGTGCTTCAACAAACATCAAGAAAGTGAATGTACAGAATGAGAGAAAATATTTTCAAAGACTACATGTGATAAGGAACATATACATAATATATAAAGGACTCTCATAATTTGTTAAAAAAAACAATAATCCAAATAAAAATAGGCAAAGGATATACACAGATATTTCTTCCAGGGAAGATATACAAATGGCCAATAAGGACATGAATAGATGGTCAGCATCAGTCACCAGGGAAATGCAAATTAAAACCACAATTAGGTATCTCTTCATATCCACTAGTATAGTCAGAATGAAAAAGTCACATAACAAATGTTGGTAAAGATATGGAAAAACCGGAACCCTCATACTTTATAGGTGGAATGTAGAAAGATATAACTGCTGTGGAAAACAGTTCCTCAAAAGATTAAACATTAAGTTACCCAATTACCTAGAAATTTCACTTTTAAGTACAACCCAAGAGAAACCAAAACATGTCCACACAAAAACTTGTACATGAATGTTTATGGTAGCATTATTCATAACATTCTGAAGATGGAAACAAGTCAGATGTCTATCAAATGACAAATGGATAAAAATGTGACATATCTAAGCAATTAAATATTAGGTCATAAAGAAGAATGAAGTATGGACACATGCTATACTACATGGATGAACTTTGAAAACACTGCTAATTAAAACAAGCAAGCCACAAAAGACCACATATTATTTGAGTGCACAAATAGGAAATATTCAGAATAGGGAAATTTATGGACAAAAAGTAGTTTAGTAGTGGGAGGGGTGAATGAGGAGATAAGGAGATGATAGTTAAAGGGTAAGGAGTTTCAGTCTAAGGTGATGCAAATATCCTAAAATTGTGCAGATGGTTGCATATTTGTGAATGTACTAAGACCTACTGAGTTGTATAAAACTCAACTTTAAATGGGTGAATTGTATGGTATGTGAATTGTATCTTAATAAAGCTGTTAAAAACAACTTAAACGATTAACTGCTTTTTTAAAGTAATCTCATGACCCCAACATTAAGAGTCATGTGCTCTACCTACTAAGCCAGCCAGGTATCCCAAATGCTTAACTATTTTTGAATACTGCTTATCTTTATATTTATTTATACCAAGGATTTTGCTATTTTGCAAATAGAAATGGATGTGTAAAGCTCTGCGAATTCTTCCAATTACACTGGTGATAGTTTTTGAAAAAAAATTTTAAAGTTTATTTTTTTGAGAGACACAATGTGAAGTGGGGGGGGGGGGGGGGGAGAGGGGGTGGGGAAGGGCAGAGAGAAAGGGAGACACAGAATCTAGAGCAGGCTCCAGGCACCTGGCTGTCCTTGACAGCCCAGCAGCGGGGAACTCAAACCAGGCAACTGTGAGATCATACATGGAGACCAAGGTCAGGCAGCAATAACCAACTGAGCCACCCAGATGCCCCTAGTGATTTTAAAAAATGTTTAAAAAATGTTTATTTTTGAAAGAGTGAGAATGTGTGAGAGTGGGGGAGGGCTGGAGAGAGAGAGAGAGAGACAGAGGATCTGAAGGGGGCTCTGTGATGACAGCAGAGGCCCTAGTGTGGGGCTTGAACCCACGAACTATGAAATCATGACTTGAGCTGAAGTTAGGTGCTTAACCGAATCAGCCACCCAGGTGTCCCACTAGTGATTTCTAATATACTAATGAAGTATTTGGAAAACCTGAGAACATAATACCCATCTGGTCAATGGTCTAAAATAAATCCATAATTCTCAGATGGATTTTCCCCTATAAACTTAAGTTTTCCTGATATCAAAGTTCTTTGTTGAACTTAAATGTTACAGTTAGAATAAAAAATACCCCACCCTGATATCTTCAGTAGGACTAAGTGTTATTTTACAAACCGATTTGAGTTGGCTATTTTCATCTTTCAGTTTCACAACATGCTTGATTTTTTGCTTTAGATTTTGATGACCCAGTAATTTAGCATAAGAATCTCTTAGTTTATTAAGCTGTTCCTGAGCTGCTCCATGTTCATTCAACAAAGTCTGTTTCTCTGCTTCAAAAGCATCCAGTTGTAGCTGAAAAAGAGGTTTTTTATAATTAGAAATGTTAAATTTACTTGTCTCATAGAAACTACAGAGGAAAAAAGAAAAAAGAAACTACAAGGAAATTCAAGTACAAGAACATAAAAAACAATGGACGAAAACAGATCATGCTGACATATTCTCAGGTTCTCCATAAATTCTGGCTCTTTCAAAAAAACTTTTGTGTATTTCATTTCAAAGGTCATTAAAGTAGGGAGAAACCCATGGAAAGAAGGCCAAGAGCCAGCCTACTCTGCATATCATCTGCATCATCACATTATAACCAATACTGCCCTCCCACTCTTTTTAAGGGTCAAGATTAGCCTTTATCCTTTTTGAAGATCAGTTTATTAATTTGAGAAACACTGAGCAAGATTGTAACAAAATAAGCATCAAAAATTTACATAGATTCATTATCAAAAATTTCTATCAGGAGAGCCTTCTAAACTATTAACTTTAAGTCTCTTATGACAAGGTAGTTCTTAGCCTATAGAAAGCGGCATAAAAAATGTCTGCAGAATAATTTAAAAAAATGTAAAGTCCCCTTTAATAGGGAGTTAAATTGGCACTGGAAATGCACAGCAAAATGATCTTTCAGTAAAATCATGTCACTGTTGTGACTGTGACAGGGAACAAAGTGCCTAAACCAAACACAAGTGAGTGTGGTCCTGACAAACCTGGAAAGGTTTTGTTTTATTATACAGTTCTTTATAAAGGAGATGCCACTTATTCATTTCCTCAGTTAATTCTGCCACTGTGTTTTCTTTTCCAGCTTTTCTGTAAGGGAAAAAAATGAAATTAAAAAACATAGTGTGCTAGAAGAAATAACTGAGGTTATGTGGCAGTCCAGTTCTAAACCTAGATTACCTTGCTTCTTCCTCTTCCAGTTGTTTCCTAAACTCTTCACCTTGTTGCTTGAGTTGGTTCTGCAAATCAGTTATTGTTTTAAGAGAAGAGACTGTGATTTCTTTAATTTCTGCTTCTTTAAGTGCTGATTTGGTCTGCAGATCTAGAAGCATCCTTGGGTTTGAGAGAGGAGAGTCCACTAAACATTTTATAGCCATTTAGTAACTTTCCCCCCTTTCTTTTACTGAAAAAACAAATGAAAAACACAACTCAAGGAACTCTTCAAGAATTTTACCTTCTTAAGTGTGCAAATTCTTACTTTGCAAATGAAGATCACCCAAAGCTATAATTCCCTGGATCACTTCGTAGCTGGCTTTCAACATTAAACTGTCTTAACAGTTCTAAGGCTACAAGTATGGGCAGGTTTTATTCTTCCCACATACCTTGCATATTCTTCATTTGCGCTCTCAGTTGCCAATATCTGATGTTGAATGTCCTCTGCACTTTTCTCGGCACTGGCCACTTTTTCCTGAAGTGCTGAATTCTTCAGCTTAAGATCTTCTATTTCATTAGCTGTTAATGCTTTATAACTAAGTAAAAAGAAAATTAAAACAATATATTATACAATATAAACTTTGCAGTTACACAGATTCAGTGTTCTGAGGTACTAAGGAGCTTATATGGCATAGGCTGTTCATTCAGAAAAAAAAAAGTGCCTACTATGTATATGAAGTATACTTAACATGAAAATTACTCCAAAATGAACAAATATATGATCCCTGCAAATATGGTCACAGAGTTATGGTCTTATGGTAATATATGGAAATTCCTCTCCAGGCCTTGGCAAAAAAATGGGAAATAATATGTATAATTAAATTTGTGGTATATGTTATGAAGAAAACTTTAGAAAACCTTAAACTGCAAAACAGGGGAACGTACTTTCTTTGGTGATTCAGAAAAGGCCTTTCTAGGGAATTTATAGTTAAACTGATGTGATGGACAAAGAAAAGTTATCTAAGGATTTAAGGAAAAGTATTTCAGAAGGAAAAGATGCATATGTGTTTTGAAGCAGGTAGAACACTGCATTAAGACACAAGATTGGAGTCTACCGAATAAGAGCGGCCGGCGCAGATGCTAAAGCCATGGGCCAGTAATCACCGTGGTGCACATCAGCCCTGGTGAGTGAAAAAGAGGGTTAGACTAAGGACTTGGCAGTCAAAAGATGTGAAATCTCTTTTGAAGGCAAAATCTGAATTTCACTAAATACGTTGGATATTGGGAGAAAGGGAGAGAAAGTGATTAAAGATGACTCTAAGATTTACAGAAAGAGAAGATGGGAAGATTAAGATGTCACTGACTGAAATAAAAAAGAATGAGAGAGAGGTAGAGAGAGATAGAAGAGAAATCACAAGTTGTTTTAGACAGGTTAATATTACACGGTAGTGAGATATCTGCTTGGAGGTGTCAAGTAGGCAGCTGGATATACGAGTATAAAGCTCAAAGGAAAGATCTGGTTTGAAGAAATGAATTTTAATACTATTGGCATACTGATGGTGAGTGAAGTCACAGAGTGGCTAGAAACCTCCTAAGGTACTATTTCTCAAAGTAGCAGGAAGGGAAATCCCTTCAGAAGGTTGAAAACAGCACTAAAGCATAATATATGATATATATGTCATAATACATTATATCACTGGCTGTGATATTTGGAATCTTGAGGTTCAGGGAATTCAGAGAATTTGGTAGCACAGTGTTTTGGGAGAAAGGGAAAATTTCTGGGTGATGGACTGGTCACTCTGGCTGACATGTTTCTAGAAGTGAGTGTGTGCATTTGTTTGAACAAGTCCTGGGCTTTCGCAGTGATGGTGGGAGAGGAAGAGTCTCCTTGCGGCTGCACTTCTGTGAATAGTTTTCTCCCCTGAAAGGACAGACTGTGGTAAAGAAATGAAAATAAATTGAAGCAATAAGTCCAAAGATAGAATTAGAAAATGTTAAATTTCCTTTTTAAAAAAAAAAAAAAAATTTTTTTTAATGTTTATTTATTTTTGAGACAGAGAGAGACAGAGCATGAACGGGGGAGGGGGCAGAGAGAGAGGAGACACAGAATCGGAAGCAGGCTCCAGGTTCTGAGCCATCAGCCCAGAGCCCGACGCGGGGCTCGAACTCACGGACCGTGAGATCGTGACCTGAGCTGAAGTCGGACGCTTAACCGACTGAGCCACCCAGGCGCCCGAGAAAATGTTAAATTTCCAAATGCCCATCTATTCAGATGGGTGGCTTTCTCAGTGTCCTTTTCTCCTGTGATCATTTGCTCCCACCTCCTGCCTGCAATAGCAGTTTAATGAACAGTTTGAGAACAAATCATTAAGTACATACGCACGCATATACAACTGTGCTTTGAAGATAAAGCAACTTTGAATTCATCAAAAAGGATTAAAAATTTCTGTTTTTTGATAAGAGTTACTTCGTATTTTGCTTTCTATTAAAATGTATTTAGTTTCAAAAAAAAAAGATCATTGGGGAAAGAAAGTACTATTCAATGAATGGGCATTAAGCAATATGTTCTCCATATGGAAAAACAAAAATAAATTTGATCCCAGTTTTACTGCACACACAGAAATTCATTCTAGATGGAAAAATGAAACTTAAAAAAATAAGTTAATACCTTTTGGGATAGAAAGTTTTTTTATAACTTTTTATATATAAGCTTTTTTTACAGAAAAGGGAAGGTGGATTATCTCCAGGAAAAAAGCCATTTTATACTAAGTACACTGGCAAAATTGAAGAAATCTCACAAGCTGTGGAGAGGAAGTAGATCAATGGTTACTCGTACAATGCTAGTGAGAGTGTAGAGTGTACAAATTGTTTTGTAAAGCAATTTGGCATTAAATTTTAAAGTTGAGCAGTCACAAATGTATGGTTTTAGAGTAATTCTTATTCAAGTATACTAGGAGACTACAAGAATATTAGTAAAAATACTATTAATAGTAACAAAAGAATCTACAAACATTTAAAGAAGAGTTAATATCTACTCTTATAAGAGGATGAAAAACTTCCAAATTCATTCTGTGAGGCCAGTATCACCCTGATACCAAAACCAGATAAAGACACCAAAAAAAAAAACCCCCAAACAAAACAAAAACAAAAACAAAGAGAGAGAAAGAGGGAGAGGGAGAGAGAAGAAGGGAGGGAACTACAGGCCAGTATCTTATAAATATGGATGGAAAAATCCTCCAAAAATATTAGCAAACTGAATCCAACAATACATTAAAAAAGTCTTACACTACAATCAAATAAGATTTATTCTCAGAATGCAAGGGTGGTTCAATAGTCACAAAACAATCAACGTGAACATCACATCAGTAAGAAAAAGGATGACAATCATATGATCATTTCAGTAGATGCAGAAAAAATATCTGACAAAGTACAACATCCATTCATGATAAAAACCCTCTGCAAAGTATGTCTAGAGGGAGCATACCTCAACATAATAAAGGCCATCTACGAAAAACCCACAGATAACATCACATCATACTCAATAGTGAAAAACTGAGAGCTTTTCCCTTAAGGTCAGGAACAAGACAAGGATATTCACTCTCACCATTTTCATTCAACACAGGACTGGAAAGAGTCCTAGCTACAGCAATTGGACAACAAAACAGAAGTGAAAGGCATCCAAATTGCTAAGGGAGAAGTAAAACTCTATTTGCAGATGACACGACACCATATATAGAAAACCCTAAAGACGCCACCAACAAAACTAGTAGAATTGATAAATGAATAAATAAATTTTTAGTAAAGTTACAGGATACAAAGTCAATGTATAGAAATCTGTTGCATTCCTATATACTAATAATGAAGCAGCAAAAATTAAGAAAACTACCATTTACAACTGCAAGAAAAACAATAAAATATCTAGGAATGGAACTTAACCAAAGAGGTGAAAGACCTGTACTCTGAAAACTATAAAACACTGATGAAAGAAATTCAAGACAATGCGAAGAAATGGAAAGACATTTCATGCTCATAGTTTGGAAGAACAAATATTGTTAAAATGTCTATACTACCTGAAGCAATCTACAGATTTAAAGCAATCCCTATCAAAATAGCAACAGCATTTTTCACAGAACTAGCGCAAACAATCCTAAAATTTGTATGTAACCACAAAAGACCTCGAATAGCCAAAGCAATCTTGAAAAAGAAAAAAAAAACACTTGAGGTATCACAATTCCAGATTTCAACTTATATCACAAAGTGCCAGTAATTAAAACAGTATATGGTATTGGCATAAAAATACAGACACACAGATTAATGGAACAGAATAGAAAACCCAGAAATAAGCCCACAATTACATGGTCAATTAACCTTTGACAAGGGAAGAATGAATACACAATAGGAGAAAGACAATCTCTTCAACAAATGGTGTTGAGAAAACTGGATAGCTATATGAAAAAGAATGAAAATGGGCCACTTTCTTTCACCATACACAAAAATAAATTCAAAATGGATTAAAGACCTAAATGTGAGACCTGAAACAATAAAAATCCTTGAAGAGAGCACAGCATTAATCTCTGACATTGATTATAGCAACATTTTTCTAGGTATGTCTACTGAGGCAAGGGAAATAAAAGCAAAAACAATTGATTGGGACTATGTAAGAATGAAAAGTTTTGGCACTTCGAGTGAAGGCAACAGTTAACAAAACTAAAAGGCAGCTTACTGAATGGTAGATGCTATTTGCAAATTATGTATCTGATGAAGGGTTAGTATCCAAAATATATAAAGGACTGATACAACCAATATCCAAAAACCAAATAGTCTAATTAAAAAAATGAGCAGAAGACATGAACAGACATTTCCCCAAAGATATCCAGATGGCCAACAGATACATGCTCAACATCACTCATTATCAGAGAAACGCAAGTCAAAACTACAGTGAGATATCACCTCACACTTGTCAGAATGGCTAATATAAAAATAACACAAGAAACAACAAGTATTGTGAGGATGTGAGAAAAAGGAATCCTTTTGCACTGTTGGTGGAGTTTGTAAACTGGTGTAGCCACTGTGGAAAAAAGTATGGGGGTTCCTCAAAAAATTATAAATAGAACTACCCCATGACCCAGTAATCACACTACTGGGAATTTACCCCCAATATATAAAAATACTCATTCAAAGGGATACAAGCACCCCTGTTTATTGTAGCTTTATTTACAACAGCCAAATTATGGAAGCGGGCTAACTATCCACAGATGAATGAATACAGAAGATGTGGTGTGTATATATCTACACACACACACACACACACACACACACACACACACAGGAATATTATTCAGCCAGAAAAAAGAATGATATCTTGCTATTTGCAGCAACATGGATAGAACTAGAGAGTGTAACGCTAAGTGCAGTAAGTCAAAAAACACGAATACTATACGATCTCACACGTGGAATTTAAGAAACAAACAAGCAAAAGTAAATAAATAAATGAATAAATAAACAAGACAAAGCAAGAAACAGATTCTTAACTATAGAGAACAAACTGATGAGTTACTAGAGGGTAAGTTGGTGGGAGGGTATGGGGAAAATAGGGGATGGGGATTATAGAGTACACTTATGATGAAAGAAGCAACAAAAAAAGGAAAACAACTCGAAAGTCCAAAGTGAGAATGGGTAAATTGTGATATACTAATAAAATCGAACACGTTACAGCAGCCACTATGAACAAACTATAACCTCAGTCAACAATGTGATTCAACTCTAGAAACCTACATATTGCAGAATAAAAAAGACAAGTCCCAGGAAATGACATACACCATGACGTCATTTTTTGGCCAAGTTCAAGTTCAGCACAAAAGTAGTATTACATAAAATATTATTTGTGTGAATATACATGTAATAAAATTATATATAGGAAAAAAGTGTGGCAATTATAAACGGAGGCTCTGAGATGGTGTTTCCGTTGGTGGAAAGCATGCAGATGGTGGAGGAACTCCTACATAGATACCAAGTTGTTGAATCTTTTGGCTTACTGGTTTGGTTGTCTTTTATGGGCTCATACATGTTGATTTTATCTTTATGCTTTATAAATTATGTAACTGTTGTTTATATTTTGTATTTCTTAAATATATTAAGATAGACACAAGAAAAAGAGACCTTCTGAAATGGTCTAAAGTAATATAACAAAAATGTTCATATTAATACTCTCTTGGTGTGAGATGCATATACATTTCTTAAACTATCCTCTGCAATGTATAGTTCCCCCACAAATAAACTTTTTTTTAAAGGGAAAATAATAAGTAGATGATATAGGAAGTGAGGAAGTGGATACAGTAGGTATAGAGAATCTTCTATTTATTTTTTTTTAAATTATTATTATTTTTTAATGTTTATTTTTGACACAGAGAGAGAGCATGAACGAGGGAGGGTCAGAGAGAGAGGGAGACACAGAATCTGAAGCAGGCTCCAGGCTTTGAGCTGTCAGCACAGAGCCCGACGCGGGGCTCGAACTCACGGACTGTGAGATTATGACCTGAGCCGAAGTTGGCCACTTAACCAACTGAGCCACCCAGCGCCCTGAGAATCTTCTATTTAGATGAGCTATAAAGATGAGTGGAATTTTGGATTAAAAAAGGGTGTTGGGAGTGAGAGGTGCTGGATAGCTGCAGGAGGAAGTTGGGGGGAGCTGTCAAAGGAGTTAATAAAATTTATATATTTTACTTTATTAATTTTTTAAAGTTTTTTTTTTCTAAATTTATTTTTATATTTTGAGAGAGAGAGATAAAGAGAGAGCGTGCATGTGTATGCAAGTGAGGGAGGGGCAGAGGGAGAGGGAGGGAGACAATTCCAAGCAGGCTCCATGCTCCACACTAAGCACGGAGCCCCATACAGGGCTTAATCTCAAGACCATGGGGTCATGACCTAAGCCAAAATTGAGTCGGATGCTTAACTGACTGGGCCACCCAGGCACTCTGAATTTATGTATTTCAAAGATAAATGAACATTAACATGTTTTAATACAGATTGGAAAAAATCCAGTAGAAAGGCTGTAAAGGATAAGTGAAACATAAAGTCACTTCTCCTGTAACAGGTGGGAAGATAGGATGAGCATAAAGGCAGGTGTGTTTACAGGCAGGGTAATGAGATAAAAGCTTTAGAATTCTTCATGAGGAAAATAATGGTGTCAGAAGAGTAAGACAGAAGGGCCAAAGGATTGAGAGTTCATGAAATTTGAAGTGGATGGCAGGAAAGGAAATTCCTATACATAAGATTACCAGGTAACCCTGAATGCCCATTTATGGTTGGTCATTATGGAATCTACAGTAATACCAACTATCTGTGTGATTGTTTTTTCAGATTTTTCTAGATAAGCACCCCTTCCTACTCATATCATATTTGAGAGTGTAGGCTCCGAATAAAAATACCTTTCAAATTGAGCAGTAACATCTCCTAGGTTTTGCACTGTACTCTGATACCTTTCCTGTAAAAGCAGGGTGGCTTGAGCGTGAGCAGCGTTACTTTTCTCTAGTTCAGCTTCTTTCCTAAGGAACAATTAAAAGATAAAAGGCTAATTACAAATCATATTCTATGAAAGCGGATAGTATTTACCTTTGGCACTGTGAATCATGTGTCCAATGTCTGTATCTGCATAAACTACTGGACCGGTCAGATCTAATTTTATGACCTGCTTCTAATAGCATGTTTATTTATGTACTAACTTCTCTTCTGGCTTCATCTTATCCTTCCTGCCCTTATTTTACTTTCATTTTCATCCTAATTTACTCATTTCTAAATTTATCTTTTGACACTATATGCACGTATGTAGGTAGTTTAAACATTTTTTTTTTAGAAGAAGGTAGGGTAAAAAGACTCTAAAACACAATCTTAATGGCAGCAGCCAAATTACCAGCTAAAAAGCTGGCTGACTGAATAAAGTGTCTCTGCATTTAAGAAACACTCCTTGGGGCGCCTGGGTGGCGCAGTCGGTTAAGCGTCCGACTTCAGCCAGGTCACGATCTCGCGGTCTGTGAGTTCGAGCCCCGCGTCAGGCTCTGGGCTGATGGCTCAGAGCCTGGAGCCTGTTTCCGATTCTATGTCTCCCTCTCTCTCTACCCCTCCCCCATTCATGCTCTGTCTCTCTCTGTCCCAAAAATAAATAAACGTTGAAAAAAAAAATTTAAAAAAAAAAAAAAGAAACACTCCTTAACTACACTTGGTATTTCTTTGAAAAAAGAGTTGATAGCACTATGTAGATTTAAATTAAAAAAAATTTCTTTTAATGTTTATTTTTGAGCAAGAGAGATAGAGTGCGAGCAGGGGAGGGTCAGAGAGAGAGGGAGACACAGAATTTGAAGCAGGCTCAAGGCTCTGAACCATCAACACAGAGCCTGATGTGGGACTCAAACCCATGAACCGTGAGATCATGACCTGAGCCGAAGTTGGACTCTTAACTGACTGAGCCACGCAAGTGCCCTTAGGACTATGTAGATTTATTTTGATTATTTCAGTAATCCATATATGAAATTGTTATTAAAAAAATATTCAATAACTTATTTGGTGGATTACTTACATAGACAAAATAGCTTTTAAGTCATCTTTATTCATATATATTACAAACCTCAGAAAGTTTTTGAAATATTAACATTACATATTACCAAAATAGTGAGAAAAATTTTGAGATATACACATGAGCTTGTAAGAGACCTTTTAAAGAACATATAGAACTAAGAACTATAAATAAGAAGCTTTATTTGCTTATAGGCTAAGTTGGACACAGATAAAATAACTGGAACTAATCAAATTCCTTCTGTAATGAGCATGGGATTAAAAAATACACACACCAACAGCTAAAAGCAATCACATAGTACTAAAGGCTTTATAATAAAAATATTCTCTTCCCTGCCCCACAGAGAAATCATTTCCAATTTTCTTATTTTTTCTCTTATGCCTAAGATTTCAGGTTGGAAGGGACCTTAGAGATCATGTTATTAAAATCCCTTTATTTTATATCTGATGAAATAGTAAATTAAAGTAAATTGTCTTGCTTAGAATCACACAGCTGGTTAACAGATCCAGCAATAAAATCCTTATCTCCTGACCTTTGCACTGAATTCCTTGAGTTGAATAAATGATTGTCTCAACTTTCTTTCCTCCCTGAAACTGATGTCATCTACTCAGTTTCTTAAAGTGCCTGCTTCCTGAAAATGGTTCCAGTATAGAACAATTCCCTAAGAATACTCTGGTACTTCTCCCCGCAAAAGCAGGCATATAAAAAACCTTTGTGTCCTTTTTATCACCACCACAAGAAAACAAAAAAAAAAGGATTTTAACAAAAGTATCCAACAGGAGACAGATACACAGTTGTGAGATATACTACGGTCCTGTAGACTCATGTACAGTTCTTGGTTCCTTGCTAGAAATATTTTTAGTAATGAAATCTTAAGCAGTCAAATAATGTTAATTATTGTAGATACAGTTTGAACTCAAGAATCCACTTGGTATTTTAACCTAAATAAATGTAGTAGAGAAGGATGCATAATGTGATGAAAGTAATACGGAAATAGCAATAAAAGAAAAGCCTGAGGGGCACCTGGCTGGCTTACTTGGTACAGCGTGCAACTCTTGATGTTGGGGTGGTGAGTTCAAGCCCCATGTTGGGCATAGAGCTTACTTAAGAAAGAAAGAAAGAAAGAAAGAAAGAAAGAAAGAGAGAAAGAAAGAAAGAAAGAGAGAAAGAAAGAAAGAAAGAGAGAAAGAGAGAAAGAAAGAAAGAAAAAAAAGCCCAAGATCTCTTAAATTTCTTATTTTTGAATGTTGCCCAGGTTCGGTTGTTTTTTTTTCTCATTTTGTTTTCATTGCTACTTCTGAGTATTTGTGCTCCCTTAGAAAAGGTAATTAAAGGTATAACTTATGCTTATGCTATGTAAACTGATGTACACACAGGGAAAAAATGGAAATGTTTCTTATTAAAGGGTGAGATTCTTAGCCTTTTTTCTAAATCTGTTATTGCTATAATGCTGATGTCCAACAATTTTAGACAACGTAACAGCAGTAAAGAAACCCCAAATTTTGAGTTTGTTTATTAACAGCCTTTTAAATTAAACCTCTTGCCTAAAAAAAAAAAAAAAAGAAAGGGCAGGGGCGCCTGGGTGGCTCAGTTGGTTAAGCATCTGACTTCAGCTTAGGTCACGATCTCACGGTTTGTGTGTTCGAACCCCGTCGGGCTCCATGCTAACAGCTCAGAGCCTGAGCCTGCTTCGGGTTCTGTGTTTCCCTCTCTCTTTGCCTCTCCCCAACTCATGCTGTTTTTCTCTCTCAAAAGTAAGTGAACATTTAAAAAAAAAAAAAAGAAAGGGCACAGCTTCTGATTTTGGCTGTCATACTTGTTTGTATGCACATTCTATGGGTATACTTTGTTTGAGTTTTATTTATTTATATTTAGAGAGGTGGGGGGAGGGGCAGAGAGAATCCCAAGGAAACTCTGTGATGTCAGTGCAGAGTTCGATGCCAGGCTCAATCTCACAAACCATGAGATTGCGACGTGAGCTGGAATCAAGAGTCAGATGCTTAACCAACTGAGTCACCCAGGTGCCCCTCTATAGGTATACTTTACCTCTCTGTGTCTACTCCTTACTTGTAAAAGAATTCCAACCTTACTTACTTGCATGACTGAAGTGAGATTGCTAAGAGAATGTACTGGAAAGCATATTTTTACATCTGAAGTCATATGAGACATGAGATCTTATTGATACCAACCCTTTCAGCTTTTCTTCTAGGAGTTTCAGTTCCTCAGCTCTAGATTTTGTTTCCTCTTCCAATTGTGTAATCAGCCTTTCAGCTTGTTCCTCCTTTTGCTGTAATTTATCTAGTTCTTCCAGTGTTTGCTTTAATTCTTCCTCAAAGAGATCTCTCTCTCTCATCATTTCCTCTTGAAAAGAACCTAGCTTCTGTTGAAGACTGGAGGACAACTCCTACATCCAAATAGAAACCACCAAAATGATATGAAATGGCATCAAGAGATTTTTACTAATGACAAAAAAAAAAGAAGTACAGAAAGTAAAGTATGAATACTAAATTCAAGAGCCTCAAAAAAAACAAAAACCTTTGAAAAATACGGATATCACCTGCATCTTGTCATTGATTATATTCTGCACCTTGTTAACAATGTGGTAAATGTTTTTTCAGTTTTTCTATGCAACACACACTCACACACTTCTTATAAAACTAAAATTATATTCTACAACTGACTTTTAGCATATTTTTCTCAGAGGATACCACAGAAAAAGTGTACTATGATTTTGACAGTACGTAAATATATTTTAAAGTTATATAATATACAGGGGCACCTGGGCGGTTCAGTCTGTTAAATGTTCAGCTCAGGTCACGACCTCATAGTTTGTGAGTCCAAGCCCCACAATGGGCTCTGTGCTGACAGCACAGAGCCTGTTTGGGATTCTCTCTCTCCTCCGCCCTCTGTCTCAAAATAAACATTTAAAAAATAAAGTTATACAATGCATAAATATATCAATACTGGGAAAAAGTTCTAACATTAAAATAAAGTGAAGACACAAATAAATGGAGAGATTCTGTGCTCATGAATTGAAAAAATTAATATTGCTAAAATATCCATGCAACCATAGCGATCTATAGATTCAGTGCAATCCCTATCAAAATGGGAATTTTCACAGATATAGAACAATAGAATAAGATAAAATTCATATGGAAGCACAAAATACCCTGAATAGCCAAAGTGCTCTTGAGAAAGAAGAACAAAGTTGGAGGTATCATACTCCCTGATTTCAAACTATGTTACTCAAAATAGTATGGTGATGGCATACTAACAGACACATTGATCACTAGAACAGAATAGAGCATAGAAACAAGCCCACACATATTAATTTATGATAAAGGAGTCAAAAATATACAAAGGGGAAAGAACAGTTTCTTCAATAAATGGTACTGGTAAAACTGGAAAACCACAAACAAAAGAATAAAAGTGCACTACTACCTTAATACCATTCACAAAAATTAAATAAAAATGTATTAAATGTAAGACCTGAAACCATAAAACTCCTAAAAGAAAACATAGGCAGTAAGGTTATTGACATTGTTCTTGGTGATGATCTTTTGGATAGAACACCAAAGCAAAGGAAACAAAAGCAAAAATAAACAAGTGGGACTACATCAAACCAAAAAGTTTCTGGGGGCGCCTGGGTGGCTGAGTCAGTTAAAGCATCCGACTTCTGCTCAGGTCATGATCTCACGGCTCGTGAGTTCGAGCCCCATGTTGGGCTCTGTGCTGATAACTCAGAGCCTAGAGCCTGCTTCGGATTCTGTGTCTCCCTCTCCTGTTTCTGCCTCTCCCCAGTTCACTCTGTCTCTCCCAAAAATAAATAAATGTAAAAAAAAAAAAAAAAGCTTCTGCACAGGAAAAGAAACCATCAAGAAAATGAAAATGTAACTTACTTACATGGGAGAAAATATTTGCAAATCATATATCAGATAGGGCAGACAGGGGTTATAACCAAAATATATAAAGAACTCTTACAATTCAAAAGCAAAAAACCCAACTCTAATTAAAAACTGTGTAGCAGATCTAAAGAGGCATTTCTCCAAACATCCAGATGGCCAACAGGTACGTGAAAAGATGCTCAACATCACTAATCAACAGGGAAATGTAAATCAAAACCATAATGAGATTCACCTCATACCAGAATGGCTATTATCAATAAGACAAGAAATATGGGTGCCTGGCTGGCTCAGTCAGTGGAGCATGTAACTCTTGATCTTGGGGTCTGAGTTCGAGCCCCATGTTGGGCACAGAGATTACTTGAAAAAAAAAAAAAAAAGACAATAGACAGTAAGTGTTGGCAAGGATGTGGAGAAAAGGGAACGCTTGTGCACTGTTTCTGGGAATGTCAATTGGTGCAGTCACTATGGAAAAGAGCATGAATGGTCCTCAAAATTAAATACAGAATTGCCATACAATCTAGTAATTCCAGTTCTAAGTATTTATTTGAAGAAAATGAAAATACACACTTGAAAAGATTATGCACCCAATGTTCATATCAGCATTATTTACAATAGTCAAGATATGGAAAAAACTTAAATGTCTACTGATGGATGGATGAATAAAGAAAATGTGGTATATATACACACAAATTGATTATTATTCAGCTATAAAAAAGAAAATCTTGTTATTTGTGATGCTATGGATGGACTCTGAGGGTATTATATTAAGTGGAATAAATCAGACAAAGAAAGAACAATATTATATGATCTTATTTATATGTGGAATCTGGAAATAAACAAAAACCCAGCCATAGAGAACAGACCGATGGTTGCCAGAAGTGGGGGTGGGTAAAATGGGTGAAAGAGTCAAAAGGTACAAACTTCCAGTTAAAAAATACTTCAGTCATAGAGTGTTATAGCATGGTGACTATAGTTAACAGTACTGTATTGCACTTTGGAAGTTATTGAGAGAGTCTTAAACACTCCTCAGAAGAAAAAAAATTTATAGTTCTATATAGTGATAGATGCTAACTAGACTTATTGTGGTAGTAAGTTTGCAACATATACAAATGTTAAATTGTTATGTCATATACCTGAAACTTACATAATGTTGTAAGTCAGTTATACCTCAATAAAAAAGCAAAAGCAAAACCCAGTGTAGATGTGCCCAGGAACACTCTATGAAAGAAAACAGGGCCCTTTGCCTTTAAAAAGAACGGTCAACATATGGGGCGCCTGGATGGCTCAGTCTATTAAGTGTCTGGCTTTGGCTCAGGTCATGATCTCCAGATTTGTGAGTTCAAGCCCCGCATTGGGCTCTGTCTTGACAGCTCAGAGCCAGAAGCCTGCTTCAGATTGTGTCTCCCTCTCTCTCTCTCTCTCTCTCTCTCTCTCTCTCTCTCTCTCTCTCAAAAATAAACATTAAAAAAAAATTTAAAAAGAATGGTCAATGTAAATAAGCATTCTCTCCATCCTGTACACTCCTAACAATGCATTTAGGAGACACATCTCTTAAATACTAAGATACAAGAAAACATTTGAAAGGTCTGCCAACAGTAACTGCAGTTGTGGGACTGGATGGGACAAAAAATAACAAAAAACAAAAAACAAATGAAGTGGAAAAATGCTTCTGACTATACCACACCCCAATCCTAGTTTCCTCATTGTAGAGATAACCACTAGTTTTGGTATATATGCCTTCTAGTCTTTTTTACACATTTATACACTTAAAAAATACATACATATAAATGATATATACTACGTATGTAACGAACATTTAAAAAAATCCTAAAAATAGTTGAGATCTTCAAGTCAGTATATATAGATCTATTTAATTCCTTCAGTTGTTGCAAGTTGCCCAAAATATAATATTTCGCATCAGTGCATTTACCTGTTTGCTCCACTCTCACTAATGTGTTCTGTATTATCAAATATTTTAAATGTTTATTTATTTTGAGATAGAAAGCACAGCTGTGTGCCTGTGCACACAAGTGTGCATGAGTGGGGGAGGGGGGGAGGGGGGGAGAGGGAGAGAGAGAGAGAGAGAGAGAGAGAGAGAGAGAGAGAGAGAGAGAATCCCAAGCAGGCTCCACACTGTCGGCAAAGAGCCTGATGAAGGGCTCAATCTCACCACCTGTGAAATCAGACACTTAAATGACTAAGCCACCTAGGTGCCCCTATTATCAAATGCTTTAATGTGTGCCAATCTTGTAAGGGGAAAAAATTATTTCCATTTCTTTGATTATTACTAAGGTAGAGTATTCGTGTTTACAGATTATCTGAATTTCTACTGAGAATGATAAATTTACATGCTATGCTCATTTTTTTAATAAACTTTCTTCTCACATAAAATATTTTTTATGTAATCTGGGTTTTAAAAATTTTTCAGTTTTGTTTCACATGCATTTAGACACTATTTTACAACATAACTGTAAATGCCTAAGTAGTAATCTAACACAAGAATGTGCCAGAAAATATTAAAAAAAAATTTTTTTTTTATGTTTCTTTATTTTTGAGATGCAGAGAGAGCATGAGTGTGGAGGGGCACAGAGAAAGAGAGACATAGAATCTGAAGCAGGCTCCAGGCTCTGAGCCGTCAGCCCAGAGCCCCAATGCAGGGCTTGAACCCACAAACTGTGAGATCATGACCTGAGCCGAAGTTGGACACTCAACCGACTGAGCCACCCAGGTGCCCCTATGCCCAGAAAATATTTTTAAACTATTTTCTTATTTTGGTTTATTAGTTGCTTATAATTTTTTCACATCATCAATAATGTGGTGAATATTTGTGTGGCTTAACAGCATATACACGACTATTTCCTCAAGATAAGACTTTAAAAATAGAATTGTTGGATCAAAAGACATATATAATTTAAAGGTTTTCAGATACACAGGGAAATGTATGACATATAACAAGCAAAAGTTTTTGCTTTTTTTTTTATTGTAGTGTACTACCTTCTCTTGTTGCAGAAGTGAATCACTTTGCAGTTCTTTTTGTCGTAACTTTTCATGTTCTTCCTTTTCAAGAATAAGTTTCTCCTTTAAGTTTTGCATTTCAGAATTCAGACCTTCATCCTGTTCCCTATCCCTGTTGATGAGGTCTTCTATACAAATGAAAATGCTGTATTTAGATACATGTATTTAGAGAATGTATTGCATTTAGAGAAACTGGATTTCCATATACCCATTTTTTGCTGTTAGCATGTTATACAGATCAAGTATTTCCAAAGAAATAAAGCCAAAACACAATTCTGAAGTTTGTATAATTTACTACACAAAATGTAGTGCATATCCTATGGTATGTCTTCTCAATTTAAATGGCCACCCAATGAGGAAGTCAAGAAATGTATCACTGTATATATTTCAATCAAGACAAGCAATATATTGAAATAAACAGAAAACAAACATTGTAAAAGACAAACATTCTCATATGGGAATAGGATTTTAATGTTATTTCCACAATTTTTTAAAAAACTCTTAAATACAGAGAACAAACTGAGGGTTGATGGAGTCGGGGGTTGAAGGAGGGGTGGGGGAGACGGGTGATGGGCATTAAGGAGGGGACTTGTTGGGACAAGCACCGGGTGTTGTATGTAAGTGATAAATCATGGGAATCTACCCCTGAAGCCAAGACTACACTGTATGTTAGCTAACTTGACAATAAAAAAAAAAAAGTTTGTTTTAATACAGCAGTACAGTCTTTACATACTGTACATGTTACTTATGTTACATACCTTTTTCTTTTTCAAGCAGCTGACACTTAGCATTTAGGTTTTCGACTTTTTTAGAAAGCATAGCAACATTTTCCTCAAGAGATTGCTTAAGGCTTAAAACTTCATAATTCTTCTCTTTCAAATTTTCTTCTAACTGGGCAATATCTAGCTTGTATTTTTCCACTTGATCTGATGCACAACTACAGTAAAACAAATTATTTTGAAGAGCACATAATTTAGGCACAGGGAAAAATTAAACTAAAAAGGATGAAAATGATGTATTCATCACTATTCAACAAAATAAGGTCCAATTTAAAACTACTATTAATATTACCTAATTTCTTCGATGTATTCTAAGAGTTTTTCTGTTTCGGATTTTTCATCAATCTTGTCCTTCTCTATTGAAACACTGAAAAAAATTACATATATGAATACTCACAGTAGTCACACATAATGTTTAATCTGTACCAGATACTGCTGTATCAGATAGGCTATCTCTAGACTCCAAATCCTTAATTCTTATTTTCTGTGACCTCTTAAGTTGACAATTTAGTATATGCAAATAGGAAACTGAAGTTTTTTTTTTAAAGTGAGAAAGCTTTCCAAATAAATTCTGATAAATTTCATGATGATGAAAATTGCACCTATAACACTCCAAGTGTTAGAAATGATCTTTCTTGTAGCCTTCCCAGTCCCCACCCCACCATCACACATACAAAATAGCCGTTGTTCTAGGTTGATTTTTATGCAATTACTTTGGTGTTTACCTCCTCCAAACAACTCAATTTAAAAAATGAGCAAGAAAGTTAAATAGACACCTTACAAAAGGATATATTATATATATGAATGGTCAGTGAGCACATACAGTGAAGCTCGGCCTTATACTAACAAAATTACAAATGAGATACTATTTCCTACCTACTAAAAGGTGGAAATCAAACAGACTGACAATATCAAACCTTGGAGACGTGGAACAGTTGCACCTATCACGCATTGCTAAGTGGGACTGTAAAATGGCTCATACAACCACTCTGGGTTGGTTGGTTTGTTTGTTTTAATAATTTACACATATACTACACTACCCTATGACCCATGTATTCCAATCCTAGATGTTCATTCAGGAGAAATAAAAACTTATGTCCACAAAAAGATATACACAGCAGACTTATTCACACTATCAGAAAACTGGAAACACAAATAATGATCAACAGAGGAATAGTAAACAAATGGAGGTATATTCAGATAGTGGAATACTACTCAGAAATAGAGAACAAATTATAATACAACAGTATAGATGAATCTTAAAATACTATGTTAAACAAGACACACACACACACACACACACACACACACACACACACACACACACACACACACACACACACACAGTGATAAACACCTCCCATCCCCACCCTCCAAAGACCAAACTAATTTATATGATGGAAGTCAGAAAGTGGCTTCACGTGTTGGGGGCCTCATAATGGGGAAGAGCAGGGGAGCAGGAAGAGGCAGGAAGGAATTTTCTGAGAGGATGGTAATGTTCTCTGTCTTGTTTGTAGGGTGATTACAGAGGTGTATACAATTGTCAAAAGTCATCAAACTGAATACTTAGGATCTATATATTTTTTGTAGGTAAGTTACAGCTCAATCATAAAAAGGAAGGCTAGGATTATACATTAATCACAGCTTCTTATACCAATATTCCTCAGTTTTGGTCTACCATCTCCATAAGATGATGCTACTACAAAGATGAGGAGGCCTTTCCTCATAATTTGTACAAAAGATGGACAAAAGTAATACATTTATACATCTTTTCAGCATTAAATGGGAGTGATCAGGGCTCAGCTAAAGAAGAGAAATAAGGCAAGCAGGGAGGCAATGAGAGAAGTATGGAGGAAGGTTAAGTCTCAGTAAACAAGAGAGAGGTGAGAGAGGGAAATCAACAGTTACACTTAAATTTCTCTTTCTTTTTAGGCACTCACAGTTTCCCCTCCAGTTGTGCTATTTTCCCCTGAGACTCCTCAAGATTCTTCTGAGTGACCTGTAGCTTCACCTCCATGCCTTCCTGTTTAGCCATCATACTCTATACAACAAAAATAGGTGTTACGAAGTGGAAGTTGTTCAGGTCCCCAGATCCAGACACAGCAAAACTCACCAAAATTATCACTCACCCTTATCTTTGTTTCTCTCTTGTTTCTAAGTTTCATTAATTCGAGGCTTAGAATTCTCATAGTCTTCTGGTTACTATCTTCAGAAAACTAAGTACAAGAAACATATAAAAACATTTAGATATATTTTCTGTTAGATCTTATATAAAATCACATAAATATTGATTATTCTATTACTGGGACTATTATTTACCTACAACATATTCTGGTAGAGAAAATGCCTTTGATCACACCAGGATTACTGATTTTATGTAATATTGCTACTGTTCTTGTCCTTCTTTTTGATTAATGTGATTTTCTGGCTTATTTATTTTTATTTTACTTTTTCTAAAGATTCTATTTTATTTAAAAAAATTTCTTTTAACATTTATTATTTTTGAGAGACAGAGAAAGATGGCACAAGCAGGGGAGAGGCAGAGAGAGACAGATACACAGAATCCAAAGCAGGTTTCAGGCTGTGAGCTGTCAGCACAGAGCCTGATGTGGGGCTTGAACTCACAAACTGTGAGATCATGACCTGAGCAAAGTCAGATGCTTAACCGACTGAGCCATCCAGGCTCAGCTAAAGATTTTATTTTAACTAATCTGTACACACACACACACACACACACACACACACACACAGGGCTTGAACTCACAACCCTGAGATTAAGAGCTACATGCACCACCAAGTGAACCTTCCAGGCACCCTTTTCTGCTTACATTTTAAAGCTCTTTGGGTAGTTACCTTCCTCTACATGCTGGAGAGTCCACTGCAAGCCTCCAAAACAAGCTTCTCAGAGAGGATTTTGTAATATGTGCTTGCTTAACAAAATGCATCTAAACTGCCTAGTCTATTTTGAAATATGTAGACTATACAGTTCATCCCAGGCCAACTAAATCAGAATCTCCCTGGATGGGGCCCAGGAATCTGCTTTTTTCCCTAAGCTTGATTCATACGCATCCTCACTCAAAGAGCTCAACACGTTACAGGCTCTGAATAGATGACTGCTATTAAACTGAACAGTGACGTACAGCCTCCTTTTACTTCTGACAAAAGCAAATGACCGTGCTATGTCCTTTATGATCTATTAGTATAATATTATTAATAATACTAATATTAAATAAAATATTTATAAACAGAATATCTATTAAACACATTTAATCCACAAATTTATTCATTTCCCACTTCAATCCCAAAAGGATTTGAAATGGAAGCCTGCTGTCATGAGATTATTTATTTCAGAGAAAGATCTAGTGACTTCTAGACATAAATTCTACAAGTTTTATTAATGCCCTTATTTATTAGGAGTGACTTTGAAGGAGGGTGAGAAAATGTCAGACATTAAAACAAAAAGCAACTTGTTTATCATTTCTTATGTGTCAGATACCATAATAAAAAAGACAATGATAATTCTTCTTGGAAGCAGCTTAACATTTAAGGTACATTTGGTAAAGGAAAAAGGCTAAACTAGAGCCTAAAATTCTCAAGATATAAGAAAAAAAACCTACAACATGTTTATAACTTATTCAGTTGTAAATATTACCATGAGACTTAAATACCTTTGATTTTAGTAGCTCATTAGTCCTGGTTAATTCAATAAGCTGTTTTTCTAGTGAAGCATTACTTGCAGAGAGAGATGTTTTCTCCCTGACTGCAGCATTTAGCTTAGCCTCTGTCTTCTCTAACTCGGCTTCCAGATCCTGGATCCGCTTATCCTGAGCACCACGTTCCTGCACGAGAACACGAATCTGGACGGAAACAAGGTGATAAATGAATGATTTACCAATACAATGCCAATGTAACTAGATGCTACTGAAAATAAAACATTCAAATTCTAGAAAAAGCTTTGTGACATGATGTTGTTAAATATTCTGATTTCACTAGCTGTTTGAACATTCATATTTATATGTTTTAAAAATCTGTAAGAACTTAAATCTGTAAGCATTTTAAGAAGAGAGGATTTTAATTGTTGTAAGCTTCCAGGTATAATTAAACTGTTCACTTTTAAGGTATTTCTACCTATAAGAGTTCTTCTTTTCTCTAGTTCTAGTTATATGAACTCAAATTATAGTTTGAAATGCTAACTATCTTTTTTATTTCAAGAAGGCAGAACGGGGCTTCTGTGTAGGATATAGTAAGCACTACAATAGGAGTGATCAGTAAGCCACCACTCTTGTTGCAATTATGAGATCAAAACCAAAACCAAAATCAAAACCACCTGACAACAGAAAATGTGGAAGTCAGGAGACAATGAAATGACTTGTTTAATATAAGGGGAAAAGTACCAATCTAAAATTCTGTTCCCAAGGAAAATATCCTTTAAATTTGAAGGTGACATGACGATGTCTTACGAGAAAAGAAAAGCTGAGAGGATTTGCCAATAGCCTGCAGAACAAAAGGTACTAAAGGAGTGTGTAGGCTCAACAAAAATGATCCCAGATATTTACAAGATTTGCACTTTAAATATAAGGACAGGGGCGCCTGGGTGGCTCAGTCGGTTGAGCATCCGACTTCAGCTCAGGTCACGATCTTGCAGTCCGTGAGTTCGAGCCCTGCGTCAGGCCCTGGGCTGATGGCCCAGAGCCTGGAGCCTGCTTCCGATTCTGTGTCTCCCTCTCTCTCTGCCCCTCCCCCGTTCATGCTCTGTCTCTCTCTGTCCCAAAAATAAATAAATGTTAAAAAAAAAAAAAATTAAAAAAAAAATAAGGACATAGAGAGACATAATAATGGGTCAGGAAAGATCTACCATGTAAATATTAAACAAAAGAAAGATGGGATGCCCTTATTAATATGATACAAAGTAGACATTTAAGGCAGAAAGTATCATTAGCGATAAAGAAGGAATTTTATAATGGAAAGGTCATTTCAAGAGGAAGATACAATCAAATTTGTTGTGCAACTTTAAGTTCAAAATATACAAAGCAAAATGTATATTGTGTACATTACATAGGTGTATGTATGAGGTGGAAATGAGAAAGTACCTCTTTCTCTAGCTAATAAACAGACAAAAATATCAGTACAAAACTTTTAAACATATTGAACTGACATATATAACTGTACCAACAAGTACATATACATTCTTTTCTAGTGCACATAAAACATTTACCAAAATAGATTATTTGTTGGGTACAAAAGCATCGAAACAGCACAGTTGTATTAAGTCACATGAAGTATATCCTACTCTTTCTTAACTGACTTTGTGTTGATACTAATCTCAGTATTTTAGGCCAAAAATACTTACCTAAAAATGTATCAAACACCATATGTATATATATGGCTATGAACTAGATGCTAGCGATTGAATGAGCTTTAAGGTTCCCTACCAGAAGATTCTCTACGCTTATATTATTGGTTTATAAACAACATTTATAGCAAAATATTATAAACTAGGAAAAAGAACACCGAGATTATCTTTACAGGTTTTTGCAGTTAAGGAAGTTTAAGCTTCAAAAAAAGGGTTTGTACGCTCAAATGCCTATGTGGCCAAGCAGATAATATAAATAAGTAGAGTGAGCCAGGTGAGGACTGAGGAGCAAATGTGGAGTATAAAGGAGGCAGCCCTGCAAAGCCCTAGCATATTGTTGCCCTGTAGTGGAAAGTGGAAACAGTGTCCTCAGATCGTCTGATTTTGCAACATAAGCCAGAAATCTGAATGTTTTACATGAAATGTTACTTTTTAATATTGATAATTAATTCAAATTAAATAAACAAACAACAAATACTATGGGGCTTAAATAAAAAAGAGCTCTATTTGTAAAAAAAAAAAAAAAAAAAAAAAATCTCTATTCTAATGGTGCCTGGGTGGCTTAGGCAGTTAAGCATCTGGCTCTTAATTTCGGCTCAGGTAATGATCTCATGGTTGCAAGATTGAGCCCCACATAGAACTCTTCACTGGCAGTGTGGAGCCTGCTTAGGATTCATTCTCTCTCTCTCTCTCTCTCTCCCTCTCTCTCTCTCTCCCTCTCTCTCTGCGCCTCTCAAAAATAAATAAACTTAAAAAAACCTTTCTATTCTAAACGATTAAGAAACTGATGCAAATTATCAGTTCTAATCTTGGCACTGCACTCACTTACCAGTTAACTGAGACTCAGTTATCACCTCTCTAAGTATTAACCCCTACATTGTAGGCATGTATCCTCAATAAAATGATGGCCAGCATAATTAAATACTAAAAAAATCAGAGCAACCAGGGCAGAGATTTGCAAAGCTATCTTGACGTATTCTTGGTCCTAAGCTAACATTTAACTGTAATCACTGGAAAGTTTTAATATGTCATAAGAATATGTACACTAGAAAAAGAGTTGGTCAGCAATGTAAACATGGAAAGAAAACTGCTAGAGAAGCAAAACTGGTAGTGACCATCTTACTCCTGCTTAGGGAAGTAAGTGGACTCTTTAGGTCAGCATTGCTCAGTAGAGACTTCTGCCATGGTGGAAATGTACTGTATAGTATGGGAGCCACTCACTCGAGTGCTTACAGCGCATTTAAAATGTGACAAGTGCAATTGAACTATTGAGTTCTTACTTTTACTTAATTTAAATAAGTCTCAAATGGTGAGTGGCTACCATACTGGACAGGATAGCTCCAGATTTACCCTCCAGCTCCATTTTATCCTTAAATAAGGCATATATAACTTACAGAGCAGAGGATGTGTAGGATTAGCACAACTCTTTCACAATTCAACTAACCTGCTAGGATTTCATGCTAAGAAATTCTCTAGCTAGTCACTGTCTTAACATAAACATTAGCATACAGGAAGAGTGTGCACTGAGTAAATGTAAATATTTGACACATGCATAATTGCAATATAGCAATATATTAATTTTTAGTGATCAATTTTTCATAGAGTGGGTAATCTTGAATCTGCCCCTAACAAACTTGACACTGTCAGCATACCACACTGACCACCAGGCTCCGAAACTTAGTATCTAATGAAGCTAAAGAATAGTTACCTCGCAGGCACTGGTCTGGACAGATTATCTGCCTTGCTACGCAACTCCCCAAACTGCAACAGAATACCTGTCTCTTAACTCTAAGTCACTCTGCATTTTATAGCACATTTATTTTTCAATTAAGTTGAAAGCATTGCTTACCTCTTTTTCTAGTATCTTCAAATCTTTATCATTCTTTTGAGACTCCTTCTATTTAAAAATCAAAGAACAGAGATAAACAAATTTAAGCACCACAAATATCACAGCCAAATTTGATTTTTAGCTATAAAAAAAGATTAAAGAGTTCAAATTCTTTTTCCTTCCTTCCTTCCTTCCTTCCTTCCTTCCTTCCTTCCTTCCTTCCTTCCTTCCTAACTTTACCCCCAAAGTGGAGCTCAAACTCATAATCCCAAGATTAACAGTCACATGTTCTGTTGACTGGGCCAGCCAGGCGCCCTTTTCTTCTTTCTTGAAAATATAATTGATTTTATTAATTGATTCATGCATCAGAAAGCATCCCATCTAGCAAGTAGACGGGAGCTGCCTCCCAAACAGTTAATTTTTATTTTAAAACTTTCCTGTGTCTATTAAACATTTTGTAGGAGACTTACCTGGTAAAAGAAGGAGTGGATTCTTTAAGTCTTAAAATATTTCAGGTTTAAGTTTTCACCCCCATAGATTATTAGGCTTTTCCTAATAAGTCTAGGGAAAAGAACAGGTGGCGCTTTACGAATAAAGCTACTGAGCGCTTTCTTTCTAATGTTAAACAGCAATACATTTTGAATATTTAATTATGCTATCCCAGAAAGAAAACAATCTTACAAAGAAAAATCAACTTAAACTCTGATACGCAAAGAGTAAAAAAATGTGTGTGTGTGTGTGTGTGTGTGTGTGTGTGTGTATATACACACACACACACACAGAGATAAAAATTAAAATGGTATAAGATGATTTAAAAAAAAATTTTAAGTCTATTTATTTATTTTTGAGAGACACAGAGAGCATGAGCCAGGGAGGGGCAGAGAGAGAGGAAGAGAGAGAATCCCAAGCAGGCTCAGCACTGTCAGTGTGGAGACCATAGTGGGGCTCGAAATCATGAAACCACGAGATCGTAATCTGAGCTAACACAGAGAATTGGATGCTTAACTGAATGAGCCTCCCAGGTGCACCAGTAAAAACTTTTATTTTTGAGACAGAGAGAGACAGAGCATGAACAGGGGAGGGTCACAGAGAGAGGGAGACACAGAATCTGAAGCAGGCTCCAGGCTCTTAGCTGTCAGCACAGAGCCTGACGCAGGGCTCGAACTCATGGACCGTGAGATCATGACCTGAGCCGAAGTCAGACGCTTAACCGACTGAGCCACCCAGGCGCCCCAGTAAAAACTGGTTTTAATCTAATTATTGCCTTCATTCAAAATAAGACATATAATTTTGGTCTATGTCTTTTATATCCAACAGCCTTTCTGATACAATGGCCCTAAACTGAGTATCTATCTTTCCCATGTTAAATGGAAGAAAATGGATAAATATATTGAATGCAACCTGTTTTATGTACTTCTAAGTTGGGGAGGGAGGGGCCTACATAACTATCATATTTATTAATTTCCCACCTGATGGAATTTTCTATCAAGGAAGGCCTATTATTTAGGGGTTTTACACAAACTTGTATGTAATTTAGTTTTCTAAAAGTTATATAATTAATTCAAAATATCAGAAGTGTTTCTTCAAGAAACTCAAGTCAAGAGACTTAAATCGGTTTCTTTTTAAATATTATTTTATTAAAAAATTTAATTCCAGTACAGTTAACATACAGTGTTCTATTAGTTTCAGGTGTACAATATAGTGATTCAACACTTCCATACATCACCTGGTGCTAATCAG